CCTGTTATACATTTTTGTGTGTTTTTACTGTCACATGTAAAATGGCGATTTCCCTCTATCCTCTGAGATAATTGGATTACTTCCCCAAATATCTCCAGTATAGAGAGGAGGGTCTTTTCAGCTAAATGGAAGTGTTTATGCCTATGCCACTGTGCTTGGCTACTGTATTCTTATTGTCCCAGTTTTCCACCAGGTCCCCTAGGGGAGTGTCTACCTGGTGGAAAGCCTGCATAAATAAAGGGCAGGTAGCCCACATTAAATTAGATCTCTGCTTAACCCTCAATGCGGAGCTTGGTCTCGTACTTGGGGAGTGTTGGATTTGTATGGTTTACTCGTTCGGCTGTTTGGTTCGTGAAGGATTTCATATGGTTCCTGTTCGGCTTTCGTTAGCTGCTTCTCCATTCAGAAAGGGAACATCCTCAGTGGTATTAACCCCTCATATACATGGGTGTACCGTAACAAAGACTAATTTTCAAACAGTCCTGTTCACCGATGAGTGCCGTGCAACCCTGGATGGTCCAGATGGATGTAGTAGTGGATAGTTGGTGGACGGCCACCCTGTTCCAACAAGGCTGCAACGTCAGCAAGGCGGTGATGGAGTCATGTTTTGGGCCGGAATCATGGGAAGAGAGCTGGTCGGCCCCTTTAGTGTCCCCGTAGGTGTAAAGATGACCTCTGAAAAGTATATGGAGTTTTTGACTGACCACTTTCTTCCCTGGTACAGAAGGAAGAACTATGCTTTCCGTAATAAAATCATCTTCATGCATGACAATGCACCATCTCATGCTGCAAAGAATACCTCTGCATCAATGGCTGCTATGGAGATAAAAGGAGAGAAAGTCATGGTGTGGCCTCCATCCTCCCCTGACCTCAGTCCTACTGAGAACCTTTGGAGCATCCTCAAGCAAAAGATCTATGAAGGTGGGAGGCAGTTTACATCCAAACAGCAGCTCACATCCAAACAGCAGCTCTGGGAGGCTATTCGGACATCTTGAAAACAAATTCAAGCAGAAATTGTCCAAAATCTCACAAGTTCAATGGATGCAAGACTTGTGAAGCTGCTATCAAATAAGGGGTCCTCTGTTAAAATGTTTAAAAAGTTAAAATGTTGTTACAAGTTTGATTTAACTAGCTTTTAAATTCAGTAAATATGTTGCAAACACAACAAATGACAATTTTCAGTTCTTTACAACCTATGAAGTGTTTTGAAAATTATTGTGCGTAATAATTTGGAACAGTGCGTTGTAAGTTTTTTTATGTTTAAAAAATACTGTTATCATTAGAAGGTTTGTTCAATAAAATTTGAATTGTACTCTTAATAGTTGATAACATGAGAATTACGCTGACTGTTATTTACATCAATTATTTAGGTAAATGAAAAATATAATTTGCATAATAATTTGGAAAAGGGGGTATGTGAGTAAGTAATCAACATTGGAGTCTGTTAATGTGGGCTGGTGCACTTGTCATGCAGGAGTATCATTGAGCTCCATTATTGATTTTAGGTTAAGCTGGTAATGTGGAATAGGCCTGCTAGTTCCACATTCAACTTTAGTTTTTGTCTTCCCTTGCTGAAGTGTGCGGGTTTAACCCCTTAAGGACACATGACATGTGTGACATGTCATGATTCCCTTTTATTTCAGAAGTTTGGTCCTTAAGGGGTTAATGGGTGTATGGGTCCATTCTAATTTTAGTGACTGTGCTTGACGGAGTGGTGTATGGTACACCAGGGGAGATCCCAGGGGTGGTAATGGGGACGCGGGCAGACTCAAGTACAAGTAATTCCCCAAGTAGGGTGCAGTGTCACGCGGGTGCCGGAAGCAGTTTGTCCCCTATGGGTGGCTAGTGAGCTATCTTACACATAAGTTTGGATGTACAGAGCAGGTCAGTATTTTATTTTACCCATAACAGATTGTGCATATGCGCACGGGTAACTTTAATATGGAAGTTTGTGCTGTTGGACGACCTACATAAGAATGTTAAATCTATGTCTAGTGCATATCAAAGTGGCATCATACATGCCCATATTCCAGAAGTTTGTTACTCGCATATTCTGGGGGAGTACAATACAAAGTGCTGCTCCTCAACTTATACAGATACATATAATTGTCACATAATTTTTTCTTTTTGCGTTCAGACTCAGTGTGAACCCCTTAGCCTGCCTGTAGCTTTTATGCTTTCGCGTCCTATGTGCCGCTTTCCCCTGGAAGTCAGCGGGGAGGGTGTCTACTATTTTGGAATGTCTCGCTTTGGGCTCGGGTGGCGTAATTTAGTATAGGGACTCTGCTAGTGTGGAGGGTAACTAGGGGTCTGCCTACCCTGTTCCCTGGAGTTTGGCAGCGTTCTGTCTTGCCACCTTCCTGCGCGCTTGCCGCAGGGGGTGGGTTTATTGGGGTGCAGGGTTTAAGGTGCGGGGTCACTTTGCTAAGGCAGCATGTAGAGTGGCACATAAACAAAAGTATTAACAGTGTTAACTGTTAGGCGGACCAGCAGATCTGTCATTTAAATATGAGATACTTGCGGTACTGGGAGTCTATGTATTTGAGGAGCAGTCCTGGGTGTTTAACCTTTGCTGGGGTTTTGTGCCAGTCCAGCTTGATTCTTCATTGCTGGGCGGCCCCTTGTCATCCGGCACGTTGTCAAGGCCCCAGGATCTCAGCTTGCGGAATCCATTTTCCGGGGAGAATAAGGGTATCATTCTCCCTTCTTTGTTTACCAGTACTTTGGTAGGAAACCCCCAGCGGTATCGCATGCCATTCGCTCTCAGGATTTTTACGACAGGTGCAAAGTGCCTTCGTCTGCGGAGTGACGCTGCAGATAGATCCGTGAAGAGTTTCATATTGGGGTAGTCTTCTAGCTTTGTTCCTGCTGGCTCTGAGGAGATGTTCCTTGATATAT